TCTGTCCATGTTTAGTATGGATGTAATCATCCTTGGCCTAACTACATAGTACATGTCAGCCACAGTGTAATTTTTTTAAAATGTTTTTTGACAAACAGTTCATCGAATATGTGATGTAGGACCTGTGAATATGGAGCACTGATATACTGCCATCAATTGTGTTTTTTCATTCTGTTTGAGATTTTCCTGGTTCCTAATATGATGAGTGATTTTCAGTTGAAGCGTCTACATTTTAAGTATTAGGAGACTCCAGAGCTCATTAAACTTTCTGTGTTAGCTGGCTTTCTCTGAAACTACCTCTGCAGGGGAAGAGTGGCATGCTGCCTCATTATTGTCAGATACTATAGAAACTCAGGTTCCCATTTGGTCTCCATAAACAGTGTTGAAGGGAAGGGCTATCATTACTGTTGGATGGGGGTGGGATTCCAAGTGCCCACTTGCTCTCTACTGATTGTTCCTGGTCGGGACAGAGGAGGGTACCTCAATACTGCCAGACAGGCATGGAAGTTGGAAGCACCCTTTGAACACTTGTTGGGGTTAAGTCCCAGCTCACTACTTTGCCTTCTTTGACACCACCTGGTGGGAGGTTCAGGTACTTCATTACAGCCTGGCAAGTGTAGAAATCAGGTCTAGGCTCCCCACTCAGCCTTTGCTGGCATGGGTGGAGTGGGCTACAATTTTTCTTTTCTGTGGTGCTTCACTGAAGTAGAGCAGTTATTTCCTAAAAGTGTCTTGCTTTTTCTGCTCCTAGCTAGATTTCCTAGCTAGAGAGTGCAGGCTTAAGCTGGCACCATTTTTGTATGTGCCTGTCTGAGTTTCTGAGTTGTTGGCTTCTTGAGCTCCAACTCTGATAAAATCCAGGGAATTATTCCTGGATCATTCTTTAGATCTCAAGTCCTCTAGTTGATCTTCTTTCTTTCCACTTTCCAAAATCTTCTTTTGTTTACTTTATGTGCAATGGCCAGCGTTTTCAGCTGTGTTACTGAGAGAAATGGGTAAAATAAATCTGCTCCATCTTCCAGAAACACAAGTCGCTAGTCATATTTTGTAAGCATTTTTTGTTGCTATTTCTCCCTCAGGAGTATAGTACAATATGGGAGTCTGGAGAGAAGATTTTGGAGCCAGACTAACTAATATCCACTGTTCTTTGGTTGTATGTGATCTTGGCAAGTGAACAAGTCTCTCCAAGATTTAGCGTCTTCATCTGTGAAGCCATGCTTACTTCATAGATTGCTTTGCTAAGCTATCTGGAGGCTAACAGAGATTACACATACAAGTGCTTAGCATATGGCCACTGAGAACTTTGAATGGGGCTAGCATGACTGAGGAAATGAAACTTCTAATTTATTCAACTTCAGTCATTTAAATTTAAATAGCTACAATACTGAACAGTACAGACTTACATTGTTATAAAATGAAGATTATAATAATCCTCAAAGATTTTATGCAGAGTTAAAAAAAATCTGGAAAGCCACTTGAAGACACTGTGGCTGCAACCTAAGGTGATATTTGTAGTCCATATAATAACTCAAGAATGCTTTGGAATGGGCCATGAAGGCCATATCCTCTAACCCCATGAACTACAATTTTTTTTTGTTACGAGCATGAATAGAACAAACATCAACAAGAAATGAATGAAGTGGGGGAGAATGCAGTCAGGAAGCAAGCAATGTGGCTAGGCTTTCTCCAAAGAGCACACCTCTCTGTGACACACTCATTCAGGCCCTCGGTACAATGTCCACCTTCCACACTCTGATGTCCACTTAGCCCTACCCTGCATGGTAGTGTGATGCTGAGGGCTGGGCATGGGCAGTGACCTTCATCTATTTTCTCCCAGAGCATTACCTCATAGAATTTATTATTGAGATAGGTCCCCAATAGGAATATGCCCTGGCATGAAAACCTATTCCCTGACAAATCATGTCTCTGGTTCCTCTCAGAGGAACTTAGCCAGGGCACGTGAGGAAGGTCCATTGGCTCATTGGATCTATTTGAAGGTCAGGAAATCCATGAAGAAATCCATGAAGAAAAAGATCTTTTCCCTATAGTGGAAAGGGGATAAATGAATGGGTTCTAGGAACTGTTGGCCAGATATTCTCAGGTTGCCTGTGTTCTTGACATAACTGTGCTATCAGGAAACGCTTTACCCTTCTTCCTGTAAAACAAACATTCAAGACTAGATGGCATAAGAACTCACCAGGATCACAGTTCCATTATTTACACCTGAGATTTGCATGTTTTGTGACTTCCAAAGAACAACCACTCTCTGATGTGTTTTATAATTACAGTCACAGAAATGAGGCACCACAATTGCAGTTAGAGTATGGCTTGGTCAAAGCACCAGGATAAAAGAAGATGGCAACAGAACAGGAAGTGACATCTTCAAACTCAAGCCTTTGGGTATTGGCCCCATTCTTTGTCGCTCTGAGTTCTTTCATAAGAAAGAACTGGAGGCCGGTGCCGCGGCTCAATAGGCTAATCCTCCATCTGCGGTGCCGGCACATCGGGTTCTAGTTCCGGTCGGGGCGCCGGATTGTGTCCCGGTTGCCCCTCTTCCAGGCCAGCTCTCTGCTGTGGCCCGGGAAGGCAGTGGAGGATGGCCCAAGTGCTTGGGTCCTGCACCCCATGGGAGACCAGGAGAAGCACCTGGCTCCTGCCTTCGGATCAGCGTGGTGTGCCGGCTGCAGTGCGCTGGCCGCAGTGGCCATTGGAGGGTGAACCAATGGCAAAGCAAGACCTTTCTCTCTGTCTCTCTCTCTCTCTCACTGTCCACTCTGCCTGTCCAAAGAAGAAGAAGAAGGAGGAGGAGGAGGAGGGACTGGAAAACAGAGCACCTAATAAACAGAACTGCTTCTTTCTCTCTTGCCTTTTTTAAAATTTATTTGACAGATAGAGTTAGACAGTGAGAAAGAGAGAGACAGAGAGAAAGGTCTTCCTTCTGTTGGTTCACCCCTCAAATGACCTCTACGGCTGGAGTTATGCTGATCTGAAGCCAGGAGCCAAGTGCTTCCTCCTGGTGGATGCAGGGGCCCAAGGACTGGGCCATCCTCCACTGCCTTCCTCCTTCCTGGGCAATAGCAGAGAGCTGGACAGGAAGAGGAGCAGCTGGGACTAGAACCCAGTGCCCATATGGGATGCTGGCGCCGCAGGCAGAGGATTAACCAAGTGATCCATGGCGCCCTTCCCTGTCTCATCTTGTTAAGACCCTCTCTCCCAACACCTGTTGGTTTAGATGTGATAGGAAAAAGAAGAAAAACAGAATAAAAGCGGCCGGAACAGGAAAGGAGAAAGATAGCAAAGATATTTAATGGTTTCCAACTGCTCAGAAAGAAAGGCACTTAAGATTTCGGAGGAGCCATCTTTACAGAATCACGACCGGTGAACTAACTCCAGGATGGAGAAGTGCAGTGACTTAATCCAGATAATATCGATCCCAGAAATTAAGGTGACTAGAGCTCCAGCCCTGCGTTGCTTCTTACCATCTGTGAAACCTTGGCCACGGCAGCCTCTTGGAAGTTCATTTTTTTCATGTCTGAAAAGGAGGTCATGATACTAACACTCTAGGACTATCATGAGGAATAAATGAGATAATGTATGTGACACAAGTGTCCAAAATAAGAGCTCCAAAGTGGAGAAAATGTATTCATTTGCGCCAGAACACAGATACCCCATTTCAATCAGGTCTTCTTCCCATTACAATATGCGGCCTCTCTCCTTCCTACTCTCCTCCTTCCAATGCCAGCTCACTCCCTTAAGCCCTCTAATTAACTAAATAAAGAGTGCAGACAGAGCCTGTGTAAAAAAATGCTCTGTGAGCCAAATAAAATCCCCAGGGAAGAGAAGAAAACCACATGGCCAATTACCATAGCATCATTTCATTTACTCAGAGTGACTAATACTTAGAGACAGTCACTTAAACACTAATCACAGAAGAACAGGTAGAAATCACGTCAAATGAGCCATCTTTATTCTTGCAACAAAAGATATCAAGGCTCTCCAATCCACGGATATGTTTGCTTCTTAATGATCTACAGAAAGAGAGGGTGGTCTCCATTTCTGATCGAACACTGGATTTCAGTCGCATCTGTAGTTGTTAAGCTGGTAGGCAGATCTACAGTGCTGAACTGAGTTACCTCTAACTGCAACAATGTGCCAGCTCCATTCTGTCAGCATTTGACTTTCTGAATTCAAGCATTACATAAAGCAAAGGCGTCTGCATGCTGCAGAGAAAACCTTGACACCTCCAAGTGCTGCTTTGAGTTTGATACACTTTTCAGAGCCTTGGTCCCCACTTCAAGGTTAGGAGGAAGCAAGAAATAGCTCTTCAAGAGCTGGATGGAGACTTTTGCTGCTGTGAGTCATTCTTCTACACTCCCTAGCTTCTTTTCCTCTTTCCTGCTATAGTTTTGTTTCCTGTCTTCTCTCTTCTCCTTCTTGTCTGTAAACATTCTTCCACCCAACAGTGACATGGGAGATTATGGTTGTGTTAGAAAGGTGGGGAGAGCAGGTAGGAAGGAGGATGGATTTCCTTCATTTTTCATTCTGTCATTTCCCACAAAGTGGCCATGTGCATTTGCCTCTGGTAATCCTAGGGTCTCTCACTCCCCCAAGGCCATGTTTGCTTCATCTGCAGACTCTCAGCCTTTCTGGTCAGAATTGCTAATCCTACTTCCTTTTTCCTATCTACAAATCCCAGGCCAAGTGCCACCTCCCACAAGAAGTTTTCCTTTGTGCTATGGTTTGGAGGTGGTAGTTTGTGCCCCAAGGGCTACTGTGCTTCCTCTTGGTCCTCAGCGTGGTGATGTGAGAGATGGTGGAACTTTTAAGAGGCAGAACCTAGTGGGTAGTCCTTAGATCACTGGGAGCACTGCCCCCAAAAGGAATTGAGGTAGTTCTTGTGGGACTTGGAGTTCATTGAATGGGTTGTATAAAAGGAGCAAGCCTAGTCCCTCTCCCAGCTCTGGCTTCCCATGTGCCAATGTTATCGCTTCCTTCCACAGGTGCTCCTGCCATTGTAACCCCGTCTGCCATGAGCTCCTCCCCAGAGACTAAACCACTGTGATCTCCTGAGCTTGGATTTTCAATCCCCAATCTAAGAGGTAAATAATATTTGTTTCTTTATAAAGCAACCTGCCTTGGTATTTCATTATAGCAATGACAATGGAACAAACACACTTAGTTACCTCAGCCCTCATGGAGCTCCTAATGCTTCTTTAAGATAAAACAAAATTTAGCTTATAATTATATACAAGTTTTATCTATTGTGCATATTAACTTAGACTCCCCATCTTGCCTTACTGATCTCTCTGGGAACGGTCCCATTCTTGCATCTCTGTCATATTCTGCACACATGTTATGATATAATGCCAGGCACAGAGTTGTCTAGTTGCTACTTACTTAAAGCAGAGAGCTCATTTTTGAGTTCTGCTCACAGGTATTTGCATGAGCACATGAGCTTAATTTCTTGAATTCCTCTAGTGTTCCAGGTACTCACCTGGGCGTTGGCCATGCCAGAAACACATTCTATCCAGAGCGTGCTTACATCTTCTTCCTTAAGGAGGTGGCTAACCTACCTATCAGCTGATCTTACTCTCATGGTGGGGATAACTAAAACTGTGCATTCAGGGGGGCTGGATGTTTTCTTCCTGTCCAGGTTGAGTACAGGTTGAATTTCCTTGTGTGCCCTCCCTCAGATGGTGTGACTCCAAGTTATTTCCTGAGAAAAGGAAATGAGTAGTGCTGGAACAGTTGACGGAGGGCTCATGGGATGATATCTGGAATCTATTTCTAACTGGTAGTTGGGTGTTTCTGATTAGCAAACAGTTCTATGTGCCACCTTCAAGGACCCAAGCTTCTTTCACCTGAAGCTCTGCCCCTTTCAATGACTTGGAGTGACCTGAATCTAGGAGGCACCAGCAGAATTACATGTTGACTCATCACTCCATGGGCCCCTTCCATGCAAAGTACTAAGAATTGTGTCTTATGACTCTTTTGATGTAAAGATGACTATATTACATACCATTACTTTGACTAGGGTTTATTTTTAAATTCTGATTTTAAAGAAATGAAAATATTTTCATGAACCCTTAAAAGTACTTTGCTGTGTAGGTTCTGTGCTCATCTAGCCCCTGGCCATCTCTTTCTGGTCCAGTGCAGTCCCACAGCATTGGCACTCACTCATGATGCTTTGCTTTTCTATCACGGTACATATGTGTAAGCCTTCCCAGACAGAGGGCAGGGTCTTAGGCCTCTTGCTAGCTCTCCAGCATGCTGTGCTGTGCCTTTCCTAAGACTAGGGCTCCAGACACGTTGATGACACAGTTGTGCCTGATTGGGCAAGTTCTCTACATTTGTAAAATGAAATGTAAGTGAATCCCCCTCGTGGTTCTACATGAATATGTAGGAGAAGTGCTTAACACAGCATCTGGAACATGGTAAGCACTTTTCATCATTTGGCTCTACTTCTTGGATTCTCTTTAGGGACTGCCATAGGATGATACCATGACTATGATTTTCCTGTCTCTCTGCAGCCAAAAGTTGTTTATAGAAAATGTTGAGGTTTGATGCAAAGATTTAAAATAAGACAGATGTGACCATCTCTGCCACTCACCAGCTGGGTGATGCATAACGTCTGCTTAATCTCAGTGTTTTAAGTCTGATTAGGCTGCTATAATGGGATACCATACATTAAATGGTTTAAAAACAACAAAAACTTATATCTCGCAGTTCTGGAGACTGGTAAGTCCAGAAATGTCATCTCTTCCTTCCACACATGCCCCGGCCATTGTGACCCCATCTACCATGAGGACAGACTGTGGGCAGATTCTGTGCCTGCTAAGGGCCAACTTCATTGTTCATAGATGGTGACTTCTAGCTGTGTCTTTACATGGTGGATGGGTGAGGGAGCTCTCTTGGGTCTCTTTTTTGGGACACTAATCCCAAACATCGGGGTTCTGCCCTTGTGACCTATTTATCTCCTAAAGTTCCCAACTCCTAATCCCATTGCATTAGGGATTCAACATATGTTGAAACATTAAGTTTCAACATAAGAACTTGAGAGGGGCACACACATTCAGATCACAGCACTGGAGATCTGTCGTCTCATCTGTAAAGTCAAATACTCATTGCACTTTCTTCACAAGTAATAAAATACTGGCCTGGTCTCCCTGACCTTGGGCTGCCTTCCTTTAATTTGTTGAGGGAGAAAATTAGCATTTATATCAATACCTGCTATTTATCTGTGGTTACTAAAGCCTCTTCATTAGCAACTAGATTTTGTGCTGAGCTCCAGACTGTAGGTACTTTTCCTGTCTCTGTCCTAGTTACAATTTAAAACACAGTCCACCTGGAAAGAGTCACAATGACATCCTTTATCAGCCATTATTACCTTAACTGAAACATGTTTCCTGTCTGTCTCCAGGGAGCAAGATTTGCCACCTCACAGAGTTGAATGGATGAGGTAGAACATGGCCACTGTACAGTGTCTGGCATGTAATTCTGCAAAAGCATCACATCTCAGTACAGCACAGCCCCACCTCTCAGATGCCATCATTAATCAATCAACCATTAATATTTAACATTAGAGTTTAAACAGTTGCATGAATTTGGGGAATACACATTCTACTTTACCCATAGCATAACAGCATAATTCTAATGGAATTTGACATCTAAAATTCTGTTATAAATTTCACCCATAAAAATGGTTAGGAAAAAGATGGACAATTGAATAAATGGAAAAAAGGGAAAAACAAAAAAATAGCAATAAGCAATATGATAATCTTAATCTCACATCAAAGAGATACAGGGAGAACTTACATGATCCTTGATTTCACTTCTGAAAAAATGGAGCATTTCCTGTACTTGGAAGTTATTATAATGATGGGCAAAGAGGCAATGATGGAAAGCAGAACAACTGAACAGAAATGAAAACCTGGGAAAAGATCAGTAACTCTGTGTCACTTATAGACTACCTCACATGCCCCTCATAAGTTTTTGCAGAGAAAACACAGAAAAGCCTGAGCCAAACACAGACAAATCAGAGAAGCCTGATTCAGTTGGGAAATAGTGGCTCCACCTGTCCAAATGCTAACTCTGTGTGTGTGTGTGTGTGTGTGTGTGTGTGTGTAGAGGGCTGGGTGTTTCAGGGAGAAGGAATGTTAACTTCTTGAAGAGGGCACCACGTTTATGTGAGGGTTACCAGGGAGCTTCTACTAGACTCAGTTCTACCATTTCTGTCACAAACGCTGAGGACCCACTCGAGCCCAAGACAGTCAGAGCTTTTTGGGGGTAGAGGCTGAGAAGCTATGTATTCAATAAGCCTCCTAGGTGATTCTTCTGCTTACCACAGTTCCAGAGTCACCACATTAGTACCTCCCACTCACAGCTGTCCTTGTCAGACACCAGGAGATAGCTCCTGGGAAGGTCTCCTGCAGAAAAAGCAGCAGGTGGGGTAGGCACAGAAGACGGACATTTATATAAGATGCTTCGAAGCTTACTTGTCTGCACCTGCCTTTGAACCTTAGAGGCAGCTCTAGATACCTTGATTTCAAAGATGGGGAGGAAGTTGGCTGTGATATGATGCTCCCTAAGACCTTGCTCTCTACAAGTTGTTTTGGAATTCTGTTTTTGTTTCTGCTATCTCCAGAACCCCAAACTTAGCCATTGGGACTCCTTGTTCTTGTAAGGATACAAGTGAGTACCAGATTGAAAATTGCCATGAATACATGACACCCTGGAACTAAATAATATTCTTTTTTTTGACAGGCAGAGTTAGACAGTGAGAAAGAGAGAGACAGAGAGAAAGGTCTTCCTTCCGTTGGTTCACCCCACAAATGACTGCTACACCCAGCGCTGCACCCATCCAAAGCCAGGAGCCAGGTGCTTCTCCTGGTCTCCCTTGAGGGTGCAGGGCCCAAGCACTTGGGCCATCCTCCACTGCCTTCCCGGGCCACAGCAGAGAGCTGGACTGGAAGAGGAGCAACTGGGACAGAATTGGTGCCCCAACCAGGACTAGAACCCGGAGTGCCAGCACCTCAGGCGGAGGATTAGCCTAGTGAGCCGCGGTGCTGGCCATAATATTCTTTTAACACAAGAAGAGGAAGAGGTAAAACCAAAGATCATCTTGCTGGAGGGACAGAGCAGCCAGAGCTTCTCACCAGTGGTGAATACAAGAGTTTTCAGAGATGATAATCACAGTTTATTTAAGGAAATAACCAAGAAATAGGCTGCTATGCCACAGTCATCTCAGCTCCCCAAATCCAAGTTATTTTCCTTCCCTGAGACGTTCCTTGAGAAACAATGGTCCATCTCCTAATGCAGTATCAAATACTCCCACTGGACTTTCCTACTGCAGAATATCAGAGTTGTTTCTGCAGCCTGGCTTGTTACGGAGGCCTCCCAGTTAAGGGAGGTCTCTGTCTCTCTATTGTCCCCTTTTCTACTGATCTATACAAGGTTAAAAGATTTGATGAGATCTTGGGGTACTGGTCTGTGTGTCTTTATTCCCAATTACTTCATGGACTCCAGGAGACTGAGATCCTTTTAAAAATTTGATTATTTATTTGAGAGACAGAGAAAGATAGATAGGCAGACAGAGATCCTGGCTGCTGTTTCACTATTCTAATATCCAGAATGACCAGGGTTGGACCACACCCAAACTAGGAGCCAGAAACTCAATCCAGGTCTCCTATGTGTGCTTGTAGAGGGGTGTAGGAACTCAAAATTTTGAACCATCACCTGTCCCCTCCCAGGGTCTACATTACCAGGAAGGTGGAATTGGAAGTGGAGCTAAATACCAAATCCAGGATGGGATGTGAGCATCATAACGGGTGTCTTAAGCCCCAGGTCAAATGCATGCCCTGCTGAGGTCTTTGGTAGGGAAAGAAGTAACCTTGAGAGATGAGTAAGGGTGGGGGTGAGCTCTAGAACAGGAACCTCAGGGGCTGTAACCTAATCACACATACTTGGCAGCAAAGGCCAGATCCCCTGCTGACTTGTCAAACTCTCACATGGACGTTAAGAAGATTAAGATAATAGCATGCCTAACATAGCTAATAAGAGATTTAGAACAATTGGCAGAAATAGACTGAGTTATGAAATGCTTATTGTGGATAATGATTCTCTGTCACCCAAATAGCATATAGGGTCAGTTTAATTTCACACACCAGCAAAAGCACAGATGTCAATGACGCCGAGTCTGCAATGCTGTGCCCAGTGTGCAAACACTCTGACCTCAAGCTCTCCTGGGTCCACCCTGGGGGTCAGCCCTACACCTCCCGTCCCCAGCCACTGATGATGACCAATCATGGAAGGGCAGGGGTCATGGAAGTGATAGGTCACACCTCACATCTTGCATATTGGAGGAAGTGCATCTGTACCCAAATATCCTAAATGGATCTCCCTAAATTTGAGAATCTTCATCCCAGTCTTCTTCCTTCCCAGCTGGGGTAGGTCAGTAACATGCCCATCTCTTCTTGTTCTTTTTTTTTTTTTTCAGGGACAAGAAGATAATTGCATGCACAGTGACCTAAGGACTCCGTGAGTCCACTTCCTCCTGATTCTGATCCTGGCTCCTTCTTTGTCTCTTAGGGTTCTTTTCATGGTCACCCGGGGACTGTCAGCAGCAGCCCCTGCCCTGCAAGCCCCCTGCCCTGTGTAGCCACATATTCCAGGCTGGCTCATGCCTCTTCCTGGGAGATGCTGGGCTGTGTGTTTCACAGACTGGAGCAGAGGCAGGCTCCCGAAAGTCTCCTCTCCAGATTTTTCATCCATTTAGAGGAAGGAGCCACTCAGGGCCCAGGGACTTTTCCTCAAGCCCATCTGCCTTCTCCTCCCCTCACCAAACTCCTCTTCCATAGGGAAGCAGCAGGACTGGGTTTGCAGTGAGAAATGATGCTATTGTGACGAGCATCTTTGATGTGAATGGGCCCCTTGATGGTCAGTTGAGCCACTCAGAAACAGAAGCAGGCTATGCTCCCACATTGCTGGTGAAGTGATGTAACAGACTCCTGAGAAAATTTTCTACGAAAACTTTTTAAAGTTGAAAACATGTGGGGCCAACACTGTGGTGTATAGTAGGTTAAGCCTCTGCCTGTGGCGCTGGCATCCCATATGGGCGCTGGTTTATGTCCCTGCTGCTCCTCTTCCAATCCAGCTCTCTGCTATGGTTTGGGAAAGCAGTGGAAGATGGATCAAGTGCTTGGGTCCCTGCACCTGTGTGGGAGATCCAGAAGAAGCTTGTAGTTTCTGGCTTCAGATCGGCCCAGCTCTGGCCATTGTGGCCATTTGGAAAGTGAACCAGAGGATGGAAGACTCTCCCTCTTTCTACCTCTGCCTCCCTGTAACTCTGCCTTTCAAATGAGTAAATAAATCTTTAAAAAAATTGAAAACATGCATATTCTTTAAACCAGTAATCTCCTTTTAAGAGTGTGTCACATAAGACATATGCAAGAGGACTTCTGTAAACCACAGATATAGTTTGTAGATGCAAAGCCTGGAAACAAGGTAAGTGTCCAGTGAGGGAGGAAGGGTTGAATACAACAGACTACAGATGGCTTCCACAGAAAACTAGATGAAAACGCCAGGAAAGAATACACAGGCAGATACAAATCAGATCATGAACAAGTATTTTCTTGGGAGACAATGGTGGGGGGTGGGGCCAAAGTTGGTATACAGGACAAGAGAAAAAGATAAAACAGGATAAATGATGAAATTTAAAAAATCCAAGCACACTGTGTGTGTGGGTCAGGGATGTAGACTCTGATATAGCCGTTGGGAAGTAGGCTGTAGGATAGAGATGTGCCTGCAGGAGGTTGACTGGAATTGTCCCAGTGTCACAGCTCTGGGGGAGTGAAACAGGCAGGATGTGGTAGAGGACACAGCTGGACTCAGCCCATTGCTCTGGACAGGTGTTCTGAATCAGGACATCGCCCAGACTCTGGAGGTGGGCTGCTCCCTGAAGGAGGCAGTTCCCATGAGCAGGGAGCAGCCCCCAGGAGGTGAGGCTCAGATGAGCTGCCAGCCATAAACACACCTAGCAATGGGAAGGAGGAGAGACCCAGACAGCACATCATGGCATCCACCAAACAGGGACATGATTGTGTGTATGCACTCATGTTTGTGAAGTTGCAAAGTTACAGGTGTGTGTGTGTGTGCATGTGTGTTTAAATATTACAGAAAAAGAATAAACATAAGAGGGACCTCAGTGTAAAATTTATTTCTAACACTGACAATTCTGAAGTCTAAGCGCCGCCAGTTGAATGGGAAACAGATGGGCAGTTCTGGTGGTGACACCAGCCTGATGATTTCCCCTGACTTTGCCACAGCAGCCTCCTGTCTGGAGGAAAGTCAGAAATAGAACCAAGGGATAAACTTTATTTCCCTTTTGCTGGTCAGGGGTGGGTACCTTGAATGTGAGTTCAATTTTTTTTTGAACCAGGAATAATATACAGATGAGACCTCAGAACAGCGCCTGTGTTCCTGGGAGGCAGAGCTATGCAGAGTGCTGCAAAGTTAAGGCCCTTGTTCTGACCCAGTCCTAACGAAGAAGGCCAGCAAGGACTCATGGAGGCATTCCTCCTGAGACCAATTAAAATGCTATAAAAAATGTAGGCGTCTCATAATTAGGCATATAATCAGTCTCTAAATTCCACCTTCTCCTTGTACCATGTTAACAAGACAAAGCAGAGACAGTGCATTCAAATCACATTTTTCCCAACTGTCTTTCCCAGTCATCTGAACAAGATTTTATTTCTATCAGCAGGTGTTTGATGAACTACAGACAGGACGAGGAGGCTGGTGCATGGCTTCAAAGTAACAGGATTCTGGTGAGAAGGAAAGAAAAATCGAGCAGCTTGTCATATTCTAACAGGATATTGCCATTTATTTAGTGTTGTCTGAAAATAACAACCAAGCCATTAGCCAAGAATAAGGTGAGTTGTAGGTATTGGAAAGGAGAAGCAGAGTTGGTGCATGGAGGTAATTTTTGTATTCCTGGGTAACACAGAAGGATTACCTGGAAGATATTACTAGTAGCAGAATAAGAAAACAGGAAGGTGGTTGGGTAAATATTAAATATATTAAAATCTACAGTTTTCTTATATAGCAGCATTAATTAGAATTCTAATTAACTCTCGTTAATAAGAATTACAAAATAATGGAAGTAGAAATAAAAATCTCCAGTAGAAATAAAAATCTAAAGCACCTAGGGGTACATCGAACAAGAGATGGATGGAATAAACAATAGAGAATGCTAAAAAATTAGCTCACTGCAAATAAGTGATACATTCTTGGATGTAAAGTTTATATTGTGAAGACACCATTTATATCCATCTTAATATATAAGTGAACAGAATTTCAACCAGGAGTTTATCTACAGCTAGATAAAACAATTCTAAAGTTCATCTGGAGGAATAAGTACAATGAAAAGCTAAAATGAGATGGAGGAGGGAATGAATATGCCCTATTCTATATTAATATGCATTGTAGGGGTCGGTGCCATGGCTCATTTGGTTAATCCTCCGACTGCGGAGCCGGCATCCCATATGGGCACCGGGTTCTAGTCCCAGTTGCTCCTCTTCTAGTCCAGCTCTCTGCTGGCCCGGGAGGGCAGTGGAGGATGTCCCAGGTGCTTGGGCCCCTGAACCCGCATGGGAGACCAGGAGGAAGCACCCAGCTCCTGGCTTCAGATCAGCGCAGTGCCAGCCGTGGCGGCCATTTGGGGTGTGAATCAATGGAAGGAAGACCTTTCTCTCTGTCTCTCTCTCTCACTGTCTAACTCTAGCTGTCAAATAAATTTAAAATATATATATATATGCATTGTTAAGTCACATAAATTTATTAACATTGAAACCAAAAAAATCAGGCTTCCTGGTGATTTTTCAGCCACTCATGCTTCTGGATTTGGAAATGAGCAGCCTCCCTTTCTCTTTCTCTCCTGAGTTGACTACGGATTCTCGTGGAGTTACTTCATCATGGGGCCATCTGCACCCAAGTCCCACCAGCTCAGAAGAAGAGGTCCAGCCTCCAGGTCCTTGGGCACCACTTTAGGAAAAACCACACAGCCTTGTGCTTTGGGGCTTTGTTCCTTGTGCTGCTACTGAGGGAGTCTCCACGGTCAGACCTGAGCACACCTCCTCGGTGTAGGTCCGTAGGACACTAACATCTAGCAGTTGGAATGCTGCATGTTTTCCACTTCCTGCTGACCTTTCTGCAGAGAGGTGCCACATGCAGACTCCTATCTTAGTTTTCCACTTGTTGCTTGGCCTCCAGGCATCTCTCATCCCAGAGCTTCTCAAATCATCTGCGTGAAGAGCCAGTGGTGTTTAGATCTATCACGCACCAGTATTTGTTTTAAATGTAAGACAAATAAATGTCAAGAGAACTGGATGAAAAGAAGAAGAAACAAATGCTAAGCAAATACAAGCTCCTGTTTTTATCATTGTATTTGACAGACATAAAGTTACTCCATCAGATTGCTCTAGGAGTCTGTAAAGTATTGCTTGCTTCGATGGCACTTGCCCACTGACTAGGCGATTCCATAAGCCATTAGAGACAGACTGGCTACCATGTTAGTAAAGGACTCTCCACACTTTGTGGTCTAGGTAACAGGACAATCTTACATTTTTATAATACCTTTTTATGGCACTCAAAGCCTTTCTCTCACATGACTCTCTAACAATACTGTTCTGAGGAGAGCTTTGTATTTATTTTTTAATTTTTCAAAGAGAGGCAGAAGGACAAAGAGAAACAGTGAGAGAGCAAGAGCGGGGGTTGGGGGAGAGAAAGAGAAAGAAAGTGCTTCCACCCACTGATTCACTCCTCAAATGCCAAGGAAGTCCAGGGCTGGCCAAGGCTGAAGCTGGGAGCCAGGACCTCAATCCAAGGGGTTATAGGATCACATAGGTTACAGGAACCTAACTATGGAGTCATCATTACTGTATCCCAGGGTCTGCAGCAGCAGCAAGCTGGAGTTGGGGGCCAGAGACAGAAAACCAGTATTCTATTATGAGTCACAGGCATCCCTCTTGGCATCTCAATGGTTAGGTCAAATACGGGGGCAGAGTTTTAAAAACCTTGTTTCGCAGGTAACAAATGCAGGTGCTCATCAAGACATTCATGGCATCCAAAGGGGTTAGTGGCCAGGCTGGAGTGCACCCTGGAGAGTTTTGATTCCAGTTCTTTCCATTATTTCATGGAATTACTGATGTGTGACTCGTTAGGTCTAACTCCATAGCCATGACTGGAAAAGCACTGTTAAAACTGCCATAGTCCCTTCCTGCCTTTCCTTACTTCACATCCTGGAAGAGAAAGCACCAGACTGTGCAGAGCCCTTGAACTACTGATCATATCCTCACATGGCTTCACTGCATTAGGAGGAATAGTTCTGTGTCATCATTTAGGTGATAAATCTAATCATTGAATTTATCATTTAAATGATGAATCTATGGATTTTTACTTAAAAATAGTAGAAAATATTACACTGCAGCAATATTACTAAAAACTCTCATTAAGCTTTTTTTTTTTTTTTTTTTTGCAATGGCTACTCTGAAATCCACCCCAGGGAACACACAAGGGAGAAGCCTCATTGAGTAGCAGACCAGTAGCTCTGAGGTGCAGCTCAGGCATGTCTGCCTTTACTGGCCTTGACACCTACTTCAATACATTACTTTATTCTCCACCAAAGCAACCTAGAAGATGCAGAAATAGAACTGTCTTTAGGTTACTATAAGCAGTACAACACACAATCGAGACAGTTCACATTTTTCTTTTCGTCTTGAGTCGTTCCAGTTGGCTGTCTATACCGATCACAAGACTCTTGTTTTTTAGAGCTGTGTAAAGTGAAGCCAAGTAACTGAGTACAAACCAGGACAGCTGTTTAATCATACAGATGCTTCACACTAGGTTGCTATTGTCTTTTTTTTTCAGGCCCCAAAAAGCTGCTTGGCGCATCTTTAGTTTATAAGATTGTTCATAAGTACATTGGATAATTGATATATTTTTCTATAAATCCAAAGTTTTTAAAAAATTATTTATTGAATATATTGAAAGGCACAGACTCAGTATATGTGTGTGTGTGCGTGTGTGTGTGTGTGTGAGAGAGAGAGAGAGAGTTATTTCCCATCCATTGATGTACTCGCCAAATGCCCACAATGGCCAGGTTGGGCTAGACCAAAGCTAGGAGCCAGGAATTCAATACATGTCTCTCACATGGGTGACAGGGATCCAACTACCTGAGCCATTATCTGCTGCCTCTGATGGTGTCCAACAACAGGAAGCTGGAATAGAGGGCAAAGCTGGGACTCAAAGCCAAGTTTTCAACATGGGATGTGGGCATCCCAAGGGGCAGCTTAACTACTAGGTCAAACACCTGCCCCTACACTAAGATATTTAATAACATAAAGCCCAGGTCTAGGTTTTTCTGAATCTTCATCTTAAGAAGCCAAGTTGGAGCAGTTTCAAGACAAAGTCACCAGTGACACCATCTTGCAAGTCTCCAGGACAGGTGGGAAACCCAAACCATTGATTCTGCGGCTCTTCCAGAACACAGTAGAGCTGCCTGGGGTCTCTGCACTTTTCACCGATGTAGAACTGGACTTCAATTCCCTTTAATTCAATTCAATAAATATTTGTTCAGTACTTACTACTGTGCGTAGGCCCCAAGAAGTCAAAGAAGATTAAGACTGATTCAGGTTAGGCCTGTAGAATAAAATTTAGAGCTTAAGAGATGATCACCCTACTGTTCTGCTAATGAAGAGCTAAGCCCTGGAGAGAATGAAACTCTCCAAGAGCACAGAACAAAGGAAATTCAGAAGTATGAAATCATGGCCAAATTGGAGGTGCCAGAGAAATGGTGGAAGATAAAAGTAATAGGGGCAAGTCCCCACTCTGTAGCTTTTGGCCTCAGGTGTTAATACTTTTCTCAACTAGATACAGAGGAAATGACTTTGTTCCTCCACACCATCTGGGCAGGGCCATCTCTCACACATAATGCCCGTCTGTTCTGAGATACGAGCCCTCAGTTCCAGGGCCAGAGTCAAGGTTATGGTGATCCTCACTATGTTCTCAGCTCTGCTCCAGGCAACTCAGGTATTGTACTCCGTGTAATAAAGACCAGTTTTTCACACTCAAGATTGTTGCTTAAGATGATGTGAAGACAAACTTTCATGCAGATGTGTGCACTTAAAACACATGGTATGGTAATGAACTAGACACGCCAATTAGATTAGATGGCTGTGGGTCATTGATATAGCTAGATGGCTAGCTATATCACTGATCTATAAAGACTTAAAAAATATCTTCACAGCCTTGGGGCTTTATTTTTTTTTTTTTTTTAAAGATCTACCTATTACTTACTTATTTGAGAAACAATGTGTGTGTGTGTGTGTGTGTATGTATGTATGTGTCAGAGAGAGAGAGAGAGAGAGAAGAGATCTGAACGCAGAGCCTTAGACCGCTCGGCCATCCTGAGAGAGAAGAGATCTTTGATCCACTAGTCCACTAGTTCACTCCTCAAATATCCACAAAAGTGAGAGCTGAGCCAGGCCAAAGCCAAGAGACACGAATCCCATTTGGGTCTCCTATGTGAGTGGCAGGGACTGAAGTACTTGAGCCATCATCAGTTACCACCCAGACATACCACCAGGGAAGCCAGATTGGAAGTGGGGTAGTCAGAGTAGAGTGGACTTGACCCAAGCACTTCAATAAGGGATGTGGGTAATAATAATTCAATAATTCAATAAGGGATCACTGCTTAATCCATTGTCCCACAAGGCCAATCCATATGAAGACTTTCTTGAAATTCAGACCCCTAAATTGGAAAACCAACCTCCTCCAACTCTTCCTGTGCAATGATTACAGCCCTTTGTTGGGCTCTATTATGTGTTTCTCTCCACACTGAAATTGGGTCTCTTGGTGCCTGGAAGCCAGTAGGCTCTCACTAAGCTTCTTGGATAACGTGAACAAAATATATTTTGAGATCATAGTCCACTCTGGGGTGGCTTCCCAGAAGAGGCAAGCTGAGATTTTTGTAAGAAATAGCAATGATTTGGGGAAAGAGGCATGTTTCTTTCTTAATGCCCTCACTAAGCCTAGAAAATGGGAGCAGGACTGGGGTGGGAATAGCATAAGGGAAAGACACAAATCCTCCCTGTAGTTCCCTTCCAGTTGGAAAGCAGTTCTCTCTCAGAGACAGGCTAACTCTGACAAAGGTCGAGGGAAAGGACTGGAAGGCAGGCCTTGACCCTCAGCACGACCTTCCACCATATGTTCTCCAGATGAGACACCTTGGTAGGGAGCTTTGCACTGACCTTGGGAAATCATTTCCATCTGGAAGCCTGAGTGAATCACAAGGAGGCAATATGGAACGTCTCACATTTGTATTTGGGTCGCACTGTCAAGTCTACGTTCTGACCCTTATGAAACACTATTACTCAAGAACACTTGGAGGGATGGGACATTAGTAAATTAAAAGTCTGGGGCTCTAATTCTTTTCCAAGGGACACAGCCATATAGAGAAGTCACTAGCAGATGCAGTTGATGGTCTGACCTGAGAGGACAGCTGACTCTGAGGAACACCCAGCACTTGGTCAGCACAGTAGCAAAGTGCTCAAGTCTGCGAAGGTAGTGGTTGGGTGGCAGAGGGTATTGTGTGCAAAGCGTTTCTTCCTGGTATTTGTCCCAGGAGGCCCATTTGATATTGACACCTGAACTTTGTAACACAACTGGGTCCTGCCAATGGCTTCTCTACAAACAACACAATGCAAACCAGCTGGGGTAAAAGTAGTTAATGGCAGACTTTGGTTTGGAACATAAAAATAATAGTTATGATGATCACAGCGATGGTTCGTAACAACGCATTTCTTGGGGAAGTTTCTTTTTTATCCTGAACTTAAGCATTCCTTTTCTTTCCCTCTTGCCCTGCGGAATTTGGCAAGAGAAAAATTTAAAATCAGATTGGAAATATTACCTTCCCAGTTAAATAGCTAAAACAGGAGGTCTTGATTTATTCAAACCATATTTGCTGAAGACAAATTTAACTCTAAATGGAGAAACTGCTTAAAGGTCAAGTTTTGTCTTGGATACTTTGAAAGAGTTGCTAAGCATTTTGTCCCCCGTGGAGCCTGGGTTGACACCAAGAGGTGTTATTTGTGTTATTTCCCCACAACCATTTTTCCGCCTCTCAGTAACTAGAGGAGAATTATGGCTACAGAGAGCAAACACATCCTTATGTGGGCATGATCATAGTGTGGTGGAGCCACTCACAATAGCAGGAATAGACCAGTCACTTCAGCACATTGCTTGGAAAATGCAGAGGACATTAAGGGCACAAGAGTTGGCAACAGGGAGAGCCAGGTTTCAATTCCTACTCTACCGCTTGTTTGTTGCATGATCCAGGGCAAGTTGCTTAACTAACCTCTGCCATAGTTTCCTCATCTTTGAAATGTGACTCAAAATACCTATCATTCCAAATGTCCTCATGGATCCATGAAATTATGCACCTAGTGCCTTTAGTGTCAGCTCGTAATAAACTAAAACCCCAAAACAAACCCATCAAAGGGATGAATTCAGGCAAAGGGACATGGTGAAGCCAGAGGAGCAAAAGCAAGCAGACACTGTCTGGCTTCAAGTGACTGTTCTGGTCTCCCAGGATAAAGGTCCCAAGTCCACCTGCAAATCCCTTTAACTGAACCCTAAACGCCCAAAGCAAGCCCCGCTCCTTGTGCCTTCTTCCTCATTCAATGCCAACCATGGAAGCATCTGATTATCACACATTTCCTCTTCCTCTTAATCTTCTCAACCAACACCTGAATTTCTTCTTCTTTTGTACCCATTTTCTTTTTCTTGAAAAAATAAAAATTTGACCTTGAAGCCCTTGGTGGTGACAGTCCAACCACTCATTTCTTTCCCTTTTCTCCTAGCTGCTGGCTTTGCACTCCGTCTCCACTTCCATTCCCTACATCTTTAATGAGCCTCTCACCCTTAATATTCTAGGCCTTATCTTACACATTGAAAGAAAAAAAAAAACTGGTTGCATTCTTTTGAATGATATCTCTCCTGAACTCTGTGTTGGGTTCAATAAATCACAATTATTGACCCTAGATTACACAATGATTTTTTTTTCTAATTCTCTTTCTCTTTGAATTCTCTGCTACACTCGACATTGGCACCACTCCCTTCTCACTGAAATGTTCTCCTCCTTCTGCGGCCAGAGTTTTCTACTATGCTGTCTCCTATCTTCCCCAAACCTTGAGAAATTTTTTGCTAGTTCTTCTTCTACCTATTCATTTCAATTTCATACATGTTCTACAGTTCAGTCCTTGGCCCTGCTCCTTAAGAGAGATCCACTGAGTCAGCTTTATTATCTCTCAGCCTGTGGCTCTCACCTCATCAAAATGCTGATATTTGCTATTGATCCATCTGTCCAGTGATGAAATATTCTGACATGATGCAAATATTCTATACCAGTGTTTCCCAGCAGGGTAGCTGTTAGCCATATATAGCCATAGAGCACTCGAAATGTGGTTAACCCGAGTGAAGAACTGAATTTTTCATTTTACCCAATTTTCATTTAAATTGTCACATGTCACTTAAAGAAGACTGTGTTGGACAGCATAGTACTAATTAATTTACTTAAACACCATAATTTCAAGTTGAATACTATCAAAACAAAAAGGCCTACTGTAACCTCATCCTCACCATAACCTCATGTCAGACTCCAAACTCAAACACTACCTTTTGTTAATTCCATTAGAATTCTTCTCCAGCAGCCTTTGATTCCTATTGATCTGCTTTGAAATGTCTCTGCCTCACCATCTGCAACTTACCCCCTGTTCAAATCCTCATTCAATCAGCTGGAATCTCACTTGCACACATGCTACCATTACCACGTATTCAATTTTCTCCTAGTGCTGTCCCACCATGTCACTCAACTGCCTTAGGGTTTAACCCTAGTGACTTCCCACTTCCTTTACTAAAAGGCTAAAATCTTCATCCACTTTTCAAATTGACATCCAGGACAAATGTTGTCCAACCAAATGTAGTCACATGATGTCTTTTGTGAGACTCTTCCCCCCACCCACGCACACACCAGGGATTACTCACTAACCCATATATGTGCCATGCTCACTCCTGCCCTGAAATTCTATTTTTTTGAATTCCACCTCTCAAGACCCAGAGGACAACTTATTCCTCCATGGTGACTTCCAGGGCTATCCACACTATGCCTGAATCCCACAGCACTTGTCATGAATGCTGTCTTGTCCCGATGACTATGGTTTCAGGCACGGTTTTGGCACATTAGACTTGAAAGCACTGAGTCTTCTTCAGTATCCTCCGTAAGAAGTAGCTCAGTGCTGAGTACATAATAAACGCTTAGTGCTTTGTGAATGCTTCTTGATTAGTCAGCAAGTTCACGATAAGAACTGGACGTGAAAACATCTGAGAACTCATTGAACAGTAAACCCATGTTAATTATTTACTCCGTGTTCCCCCTAGTTCCCTGCTCATCCTCCAGTATGCCCTGGATTTTTTCAGCTTCAATTCCTCTCATTTGTCTATTTCTTCATTTTTTTTCCAGGAAACTACATGAGCTAATCATGACAGAGTCAGGATAAAGACCATGGCTAATACCTTGTTTGCTCCATGATCAACATGTTTCTACTAAGGCAATTAACAAGATACAGAGGAAAAATCCTGACAGCTCTTCTGCCACTTACTAGGCTAGTGGCACTGAGCTAGACTATTTTATTTCTATGAACCTCATTCTGGGTGCAGGCAAAATGAAGATAAAAAATAACCTTAATCCTCATAATCTTAAAAAGGAGCTGTGGAGTTAAGTAATATAACATTTGTTAGGTTAGGGCTTGGATGCATCAAAGGTAGAATGCAAGCAACTCTTGGGTAGCCTGGATGTTTTCATTTTAAGGGCTGAACCAGAAGGGCAATGTTTAAAGCAAATGAACTGACTAAAGTGAAAAATTCCAGACTGTGTAAATGAATCTAAAGAGGGAGTATTATGTGCAAATCACAAGTTCTCATAAGGGCTGCAAAGATGGAGAGGTCAAGTACCTAATACATGGACATTATAACACAGGTCAGTTGTACCATAAATATCAGTTGCACGAAACAAGTTGAGATTATTTGTTTTGCTTTGTGTTTTTCTAATCAGAGCCAGAAAGTCATAAGAGCTCTGAGCATCAGAGCTCATTCTTAACAGAATGATAGAGGCCCACCATTCCTTTCCCAAAATTTTGGAGCCAGATGTGTTTTGGAATTTAGGATTTTTCAGACTTTATAAAGGTAATGTGGATCATATACTATATACTGTATAATAACACCAGTGTAGTGTGGGGTAAAGAAATATTTCTATAACATAATGTGTGAATATAAAATCTATAAGTAGACTCATAACGAGTTTGGTTTGAATTTTCTTCAAATGAGTTTTGATTGCATTTTGTTTTAGTATCAGTTTATTAATGTAGAACTTTCTATCTTCAGAGGTTTTTGAACTTAGGAATTCTAAAACAATTGTGTTCCTGTATTATTATATGCAATTTTCTGAAAAAAAAACCCACATTATAGTTATTTTTAAAACTTCCAACACACTTTTGGAAATGTAAAAAATAGAAGGTAGCAATTTCAAAAATTACTGTAAAGCTACAGTAGATAAAACATTGTGGTACTGGCAGAAGGATAATAGTCACATGGAATATGGAATAGAATTCCATGCAATGGCATATCATTGAAAATCCAGAAATGAATCCATATATTTATGATCAATTGATTTTCAACAAGGGTGCCAAGACCATTCAATAGGACAAAATATTTTCTTTAATTAATGATATTTGGATAGCTGGATTTTCACATACTGAAGAATAAAGTTGGAATCTTACTTCACACCATATATAAAAATTATCTCAAAGTGGAATAACAATTTAACTTTAAGAGTTAAAACTAAAAGACTCTTAGAAGAAGGCATAAAAATTATCTTTGTGATCTGAGATTCAACAATTATTTCTTAGATATGATACCACAAACAAGCAAGCAAAGAATTTACTGATAAATTAGACTTCATAAAAATTTAAGACAGTTGTACACTGAGGAACATTGTCAAGAAAGTAAAAGAACAGCCCTGCAATGAACATACTTGCAAATCATATATGTATGCAAATGCATATATGTATGCAAATCATATATATATAAGTAACTCTTAAAACTCAGTAATAGAGACAGCTCAATTAAAAAGTGGAAAATGAACTTGACTATGACTTAGGAGAGGATAAACATTTATATGATCAGTAAGTACATGAAAAGAGGCTTGCCATTGTTAGTCATTAGGGAAGTGAAAAACCTATTGAGATAACACACTCACTAGGAGAATATAATAACCATTTTACAAAAGAAAATAACATGGGGCCAGTGTCGTGGTGTAGTGGGTAAAGCTGCTACCTGTGATGCTGGCATCCCATATGGGTGCTGGTTTGAGTCTTGGCTGCTCCACTTCTGATCCAGCTCCCTGCTAATGACCTGGGAAAGCAGTAGAAGATGGCTTGGGTCCTGGCCACCCGTGTGGGAGACCCGGAAGAATCTCCTGGCTCCTGGCCCAGCCCTGCATGTTGTGGCCATCTGGGAAATGAACCACCAGATGGAACATTCTCTCTCTCTCTCTCTCTCTCTCTCTGTGTGTGTATGCGTGTGCGTTTCTCCCTTTCCTCTCTGTAACTCTTTCAAATAAATGAATAAATCTTTAAAAAAATCCCAAGAGATTGTGGAAAAACGAAACCCTCATACATTGTTGGTGGGTGTGTAAACTGAGACAGCTGCTGTGGAACACAATTTGGCTGTACCATATAATCCAGCAATTCCGGTTCCAGGAATGTACCTTAAAGAACTGAAAATAAGTTTTCAGACAAAAATTTGTACATCAGTATTCATAGCAGTACTACTTGCAATAACTGAGAAATAGAAACAATTCAAATGTCCATCAAGTGATGAATAGCTAGATACAATGTGGCTTTACTCATACAATGAGTATGAGTCACAAAATAGGAGTGACACAATGATAAATGCTACACTTGGATGAAGTTAGGTGAAGGAAGGCAAACACCGTCACATATTATATGATTCATGTAGGTGCAATATGCAGAATTGGCAAGTCTACACAGACAAAAGCAGACTGATGGCTGCCAGGGATTGGGGAGGGAGGAGTGGGAAGTGATAGGTACAGGGTTTCATTATGCTTCGGAATTAGATGGGGTGATGGCTGTACAACACTGTCAGTACACCAAATGCTACTGGGCTGTACAGTTTAAGATGGTTAAAATGGTGAATTTAATTTATGAATTTTATCACAAGAAAAAAAAGTGGGTAGATAACCATTACCTCTTCAGGGACCTTGAGGCACCTGGAGGCCCCAGAATTTCTTTGTTGAATCACCTTGAAAAAAATCTGAATAATAATAAAATTGGTGTTCTGCTTTAAATGGGAGTTTCTAAAATATTTTCATAAATTTTAGGGACTCCTATAATACAAACCAGAGTTTATCAGTCTTGGAACTATGGCATTTGGGGCTGTTGTGCAATGCAGCATGTTTAGCTTAACCCAGGCCTAACTCTAAGAGCCAGTGACATCTCACTCCAGTTGTGACACTTTGATACCCAAAACTGTCTCCAGACATTGCCAATGTTTCCTGCAGGTGAAAATTGCCCCTGGTGGACAGCTACTGACCTCTTTAAGGAGTCAATGCTATTCCGGGATTGCATCCTCTCCTAGAATTTCCCTTAAAAAAAAATAACCCCCCCCAAAAAAAACACCCAAACATTTACAAGATCTTCCTTTGGTAATTTCCAAATGACAGCGAAACTAGAGAAAACACACTGTTGCAGATTGCAGGTGAACTTCAAACCACATCTCTTTACAGAAGACCGAGCTGTGTGGTCAACTTGTAAACAGCAGGTTTCTAACTGACAACTAGATGCCCTGGCACTAAGCTAAATGTGGCTAGCACATAAAAAGAACGTGAGTAGCAATGCTCCCTTTTCAAACCCTTTTTGGGCAAAGACTACTGCTCCGCCAGCATTCCAGAATAGTGACAGCCCAAGCGTTCTTTGTTAAGTTTGCCTCCTTCTCCTTTGAAAACGCAAAGCCTACTCCTCCCAGAACTTCTCCTGATACCATTTAATGAGCCTGGAAGCAGACAGCATTAGCACAGAGAGCAACCTGTGCTCCGATGCCCGTGGCGGCCGCTGTCAGCAGGAAGGGAGTGCCGAGTGTCCGGGACTCAGGGTTCCCGGGCGGCTGACACAGGCGCCACCTTTATCTGTTTTGTATCTTGGGTTTCTGAGTGGGGATTGCTTTGCACAGCATTCTGATGCTGAGACGTTTGAAAGCCACAAGCTCAAGCGAGTCCCTCTTCCCTCAGATGGCGAGTGAGGAAGTGCAAGGGGAGGCGGAATCAGGTGAGATCCCAGGTTTTTCACTCCTCTCTCCCAGGAAAGGCTGCCGGGCAGTTCCAGCAGGATGACCCCTAGTGTTTCACGTGGCCACTTCCTCAACTTGATCAGCCCAGCAACTTTTGTCTTATGATGGGAATTAAATTCGATGCTTTAAAATAAATGGCATCTAACTATCACTGAGATGGATGGATGGATGGATGGATGGATGGAATGCTTCTAACCACCCCCCACCCCACCTCCAGTTCACCTGCAAAGCTAACCTCCAGTGAGATGGTCTTCAGGAACTTGGCCTCCGGGAGGTAGAGTAGATGAGGTGATGAGTGTGGAGTGCCCATGATAGGATGAGTGTCCTTTTAAGGAGATGAAGGCAGCAGCGCTCTCCGTGAGAACACAGAGGGAAAGTGATCGTCTGGGAACCGGGAAGACCCTCACCACGCACCTGAGCATGCTGGACCCTGGTCTCACACGCCCAGCCTCCAGAACTGTGGGAAATGCATGCTGGCCGTTTAAGCCATGTCCTTGGTATTCTGCTATAGCAGGCTTAGCCGACAAAGACAACCACCTATCACACCACACGTGTTCCCAGATACATGGACAATTTCACCTCTCTTTCCTAGGAAGAGACTTGCTACACTCTTCCCATGGTTTTACCCAATCTTTGTGATCAGGGCCACCGGGAAAGCTCAGTTTACTTTACTGCCCAGGAGCCCTGTGCTGTCGGACCTCACAGGTGTCTTTCTCCAACTGTGCTGAGAAGAAAGGCTATGAGACGACCTGTGTGCTGTGTCTGGACCCACAGACATCTGAAGGACTGAAGGCCGTGGTCACAATTCAGGTGACACTCATTGCTGCTTCACACTTGGACCTCACTGTGAAAAGCAGCCTGTGCCGAGGCAGCGACTTCCAGATTAACTTGAACTTCTAGATTCTCTTACTAAATTCTTTTTATTTTATTTTATTTTTTTGACAGGCAGAGTGGACAGTGAGAGAGAGAGAGAGAGAGAGAAAGGTCTTCCTCTGTCGTTGGTTCACCCTCCAATGGCCGCCGCGGCCGGTGCGCTGCAGCCGGCACACCGAGCTGATCCGATGGCAGGAGCCAGGTACTTCTGGTCTCCCATGGGGTGCAGGGCCCAAGTACTTGGGCCATCCTCCACTGCACTCCCTGGCCACAGCAGAGAGCTGGCCTGGAAGAGGGGCAACCGGGACAAAATCTGGTGCCCCGACCGGGACTAGAACCCAGTGTGCTGGCACTGCAAGGCGGAGGATTAGCCTAGTGAGCTGGGGCGACAGCCCTCTTACTAAATTCTTAACACATCTGAAAGAATATCCATGTAGGTAACATTTACATCACTGGTAAAAACCCCAGGGAAAGACAATAGTCACAAGCTAGAGTTGCTGAGAAGTTTCTGGAAACTATAATTTGGTTAGAACCAGCTGAATGAAGGACTGATGAGTCCTTGGCTCATGTCAAGAAAAGGAGGGAGAGGTGAGTGCTCCCAGCTGCTCAGTGACATGCTCCACGGCTTGGGTTCACAAAAACTGGGGACGCAGGTGGGCTCAGCGCAGCTCTCAAAGACAACCTCCCTGGCCCTTGCATGTCTGAGAAGACTACCAATGCTAAGATCTCTGCCAGGTGGCAAGGCTCCTAGGTCTTCCCTGACAAGGTTAGCAGACAAGCCAGGGGCCCCTCTGAGGCATGGCTCCCAGGGGGTCTGCCAAGCAAGGAGGACAAGCAAACTCTACCGTGCAGAAGAGAAACTCCTTCTGCCTCCCCTGCTCCCTATGGGTAAATACTCATGGAGGTGCACTCTGGCAAATTTAAGCTTCAAGAAAGACAATCATTTTTCTTCTCGCTTTAATCTGGGTCTGAAGGATTTTGAGCAGGGGCTTATCCGGTTTCCAACAGAGCACATT